ACAACCAAACATGATACTGAAGAGTGAAATGAGAAAAGTTTGCTTTTCATGATCAGGAACAAGACAAAGATGTCCACTAGCACTATTTTAATTCAACATTTTAGTGAAGGTTCCAAACAGTGTATTTAGGCAAGAAAATTAAATAAAAGAAATAAAGACTGAAAATGAAGAAATAAAACTGTTCTTTGCAGATGACATAGTTATGTATCTAAGAAAGTTCAAGATAATCTATGGATAAAGTATTACTATAAGTGAGCTAATAAGCGAGGTTGCTGAATACAAGATTATTGTACAAAAATCAATTGTATTTCTACATACACACAACAAACAGTTGGAAAGTGAGATTAAGAAAATGATATATTTATAATCAAATAAAATAATCAGGTACTGAGGAATAAATGAAAGATGTGTAAGACTTCCACACAGAGGACTATAAAACCCTATTAAGAGGGCCAGCCGAGTGGCTCAGTTGTTTAAGAGCATGAGCTCTGAGCAACAGGGTCACTGGTTCGATTCCCACATGGGCCAGTGTGCTGCGCCCTAGCTGAGCTGTCGTTGAGATGGAGAGTGCATGCTTTTAGCAGCAAGGTTGCCGGTTTGACTTCCACATGGGATGGTGGGCTATGCACCCCTGCAACTAAGATTGAACACGGCACCTTGAGCTGAGCAGCAGCTAGCTGTCAACGGGAGTCTGGATGGCTCAGTGTGCAACAAGGTTGCTGGTTTGACTGCACATGGGATGGTGGACTACGCCCACCAGCAACTAAGGTTGAAAGCAGCGATTGGACTTGGAGCTGAGCTTGCGTCCTCCACAACTAAGATTGAAGGACTTGACTTGGAGCTGATGGGCCCTGGAAAAACACAATGTTCCCCTTCCCCAATTCCCCAACACTGTTTCCCTCCCCAATTCCCCAATTAAAAAGAAAAATTTAAAAAAATCCTATTGGGCTGGCCGAGTGGTGCGATGGTTAAGAGCTGGCTTTGGACGCCAGAGGCCCCCGCTTCGGATCCCATCTATGAGGGCCAGTGACACTGCCCTCTAAAAAAAAAAAAAATCCTATTAAGAGAACTTTTAAAAGGTCTAAATAAATGGAGGAGCTTACAATATCCATAGATTGAAATACTCAATATATTGAAGGTGTCAATTCTCCATTAATTGACCTATAAATTTAATGCAAACCTGATTAAAAATCAGAAATTAATAATAGAAATTAATAAAAAATAGAAATTAATAAAGTGATTATAAAAGTTATATAGAAATGGAAAGGACCAAGTATAGCCAAGATGATCATGAAGAACTAAGTTGGATGACTTGCTGTACTGGACATAAAAACTTACTATAAATTTAAAGTAATTATGATAGTATGGTTTTGGTGTAGGTAAAAAGACCAATAAACCAGAACAGACCCATACAGATATGGACACTTGACTTATGATAAAGGTGCCACTGCAGTGCAGTGGGGAAAAGATGGTCATTTCAATAAATGGTGCTGAGCCAACTGGCTATCCACACACAAAAAATACTAAACTTGATCCCTAGTTCACACCATAAGCAAAAATCAAAATATCTTCTTGATTTCAGGATAGGCAAAGATTTCTTAAAAGTAAAAAGATAGCACTAACCATAAAAAAAGATTGATAATGTAGAGTACATTCAATGAAGAAGTTCTAGTCATCAAAAACCCCATAATGAGAGGGAAGAGAAGGGGAGTGTGAAAGAAGTGCCAGGAGGATCTGAGTTTGCAGGAATGGCCAGTGTCCCACACCCATGAGGACGCTCAGGCTGGAGTGCTTCTTGTGAACACCAGACTTCAAGCTGGCGGCTTCAAGGAAGTGGCTTATTCCCTTCCATCGATATTGTTGCTGCTACTTAGGTGGTGGCAGAGTTAGGAAGCTCCAGGGTCTAAGTGTAAAGGTACGGATGTGGAGGGGGAAGGGAGCCACCCTACGCTCAGGAGCTTCAGAGAATCACTAACGGTCTCTTATAGGGAAGAAAGACACTGTAATCTGTGAGCTTTTTTTTCCATTTGGAGAAGTTGTCTTAGGGAAAAGAAAAGAGATTTTGGGGTCCATTTGAACCACCTCAACCATGTTCAAAGATTGCTTCATTCTAAAGTTGACTATGCCGTGGGGAAATAGACCTTGGAGGTTACTTTGGTAAAAGGTTTGTAGTCTATCTTCAAGAGCATGATGTTTATTGAGCCTTCACATTTAGATCCATGATTCACCTGGAACTGGTTTTGGTATATATTGTGGGGTAGAGGTCAAGCTTAATTTTTCATATGAATATCTAGTTGACCCAACGCCATTTATTGAAAAAACCACCCTTTCCCCACTGCATAGCAGTTTCCATTTTTCTGGGATTTTTCTCTTTGGAAGAAGCTAAGGGCCCCACCAATATGGGTGGGGGTAGGGAGGATGTGTTGCAGAAGTTAGCAGCAAGGTCTGGTCTAGCTGCTGTCTGATCTCCTTTGAATCATTGAGGCCAGTCCATGGTGGGGTCTTTTCAGCCAAATGCAGCCTCAGAGGCTGCCTGGTCCCCAGGGTAGGATGCAGAATACAGCAGCTGGTTCTGCTGGGAAACATATATAAGAAGAAAGCAGAGGATTTCTGGGAAATATTCTCCCTCTGAAGGGTGAGTGGCCAAGTATCTGACCCCTATCTTACCCCCACCCCCGCTGGCCCTGTGGGAAAAAGACCAGGTGGTGGGCTGATACTGAAAAGTGTCCCTTTGTCACCTGGCATCTTAGTACCTCAACTAGAAACATCCTGGGCAGATGTTCTGTCACCTGGTCTCAGGAGATGTGGGACCTGCAGCTAAAGGAAAATTCACGCCCACTCTGAACTTATTTCAAGTACAAAACCCCCAACTTCCTTTCCCACAGGCTGTCAGGGACCACCTCCAGGGCAGACACTGTTGTGCCCCACCCATATCCCTTCCTCTTCACCTCTTCAGTGTACACCTGTCTGACTCCATCTGCCAACACCTGCATTTCTTTGCCTGAACATTTTCTCTAGCTTCCAGGATGTATTTTACCACCCATGGGGTGACTGGAAGTGCCAGGAAGGTAGTGCTCCCCTCTCACTCCCTCCAGAAGCCATCAACCACTGACTGGTGGAAGGTGGTGTATAAATAATCCAGCTCCTCCGCCTCTCAGGTGGAAAAACTCTGAGGTGTGTTCTACACCATCTCCTTGAGTTCTCCAGCAGGAAACTGGCCTCAGGTTCTGTTTCTAGGGGAACTCAAACTAAGACACGTGGGAAAGAATGTTGTATTAGTCAGTCTGGGCTGCCATAACAAAATACAATAGACTGGGTGGCTGAAGCAACAGAAATTTATTTTATCATCTTCCTGGAAACTAGAAGTACCAAATCAAGGTGCCAGATGATTTGGTTCCTGATGAGGACTCTCTTCCTGGCTTGTAGACAGCCACCTTCTCACTGTGTCCTCACATAGTGTAGAGAGAGATTTGGGGTCTCTTCTTACAAGGACACAAGTTATCAGATTAGGGCCCTACTCTCATGACTTTATTTAACCTTAATCACCTCCTTAAAGGCCCTATCTTCAAACACAGTCATATGGGGGCGGGGAAGGGCTAGGGCTTCAATGTATGAATTTTGGGAGGACATAATTCAGTCCATAGCAAACATCGTAATTGTTTAGCTCTGCCTGCTGTGGACCGGGGAGTGGGCAGTGTTGACTCAAATGGTTGCTTGAGTAGTTGAGAGATCTTTGAGGACAACACTACATCTTATTCATATCAATCATGGCACCTGACCCATCTCAGGAACCGGAATGTGACCACAGTCCAGTAACCACCTGCATCCAGTACAGATTAGAGTTCTGTGGGTGCTCAGCCTGGGAGGACCCCGGGCAGTGGGAACTGCTCAGAGCCTGAAGAGAGCAGGGCAAGGGCTGGCAGGCTCTGCAACACAGGCTGCAAGTGGGAACTGAGGGGAAGCCAGGTGAGCACTGAGAATAGGTCATGGTGACCAGAAGGCTACCCCTGTCATGGGTCCCAGGCATTGGCCAAGAACACAAGAGAAGGAAGTGGCAGGACCAGCCCATCTGCTTTAGCAAGTGTATTTGTTCAGAGTGCTGCAAGGCATGGGCACATGAGTTGGGTTTTCAGAGGTCATGGAATGTTGCCAGAAAAGAAGAAAGCCTGAGGCTTGGGGCTGGATACTGGGCTCCCTGGACAGTGGGTAAAAAAAAATGGCTTCCAGGGTCAGCCAGCTAGACCTTTGGGTCTAGGGGACATATCTTGGGGATGACAGAGATTCATCCCAGGAGGGAGTAAATGAGCCCAGGAACCTTACATCTTTACCATCCCTCCTTCAAAACTCTAGGAGAGCCAGAAGGTACTTAGGCCTGGGGAGGAGTGTAGGGGGTTGGGACTTGCTCAGATTACAAAACTTGGGAGCCAAAAGCTATCTTACCCAGCTCAGGTGAGGCCCTGCAACCTCTGGTCAGGGAGGATCTTACTTCTGAGCCTGTGTACATCTGGGTAGTATTTAGTTTGCTCTGTTCTGGTTCCCAGCAACTCTCACCTTGGGGGCAGACAATTCCCAGCTTGGTCCTGGACAAGCAGCTGGGGAACAGTGTGCTTTCAGTCAGAGCTCTTGGGGCTGAGCCCATGTCCTGGGTCCTCAGGCCTGTCAGCCTACTTTTGACTTCCCCCAGAGTACCCAAGCAATACTTGCTCAGTTAAACTCTGGGGCTGTTGAAAAAGTCCAAGGTACAAGAAGGCTGCCCGGGGGTATGGTTTGGAGGGGCCCCCACGAGAGCTGCAGAACCGCTAAGAAAAGCAGATCCATGCCAAGGAAGCAGGCAAGAGAGGCCAGGTGGCCACCTGCATCTGTGTTTATTATTCTGTTCTCTTCAACCTCAGCAGAGTAAAGTGTGAGGCCAGGGGCAGCTGGGCCCATTCCATGGTTCTATGGGACCAGCCAGTCATGTGTGGGGGCCAGAGTCCATGAGACACCCATTGGGGGAAGACCCACAATTCAGGGGGCCTGCACCCCCTCTTTTGCACCCGCCATGCCTGAAGCCCCCACTGGGATTCATGATGTGGCAAGCATGAGTGTGCAGTCCGCAGTGGGAGTGGGGCAGCCACGGGGTCAAGTGGCTGTCAGGAGCTCCATGGGAGCCTGGGAAGACCTCCTGAGGCTGCTGGGCACCCCCTTGCCCTGGAGAGAAGTTGGGATGCTGGGCTGGTGAGATGGGTCCAATGCAAACAGGACTTTCCTAGGCCACCTCTCCCTGAGCTGTCCTTTTTCCCACAGTCCCCTTCCGGTGCTTCTGTCATCCAATGTCCTTGGTCTGTGTAAATTCCACCTCTTCCAGAGGAACCGACCCAACCAGTGAGGTCCTGCATCCCAGTACCTCCCCAGGATGCTCTCCTGCCAAGAGCATCCGCACAGTGTTGGGGCTGGTCGGAAGAAAGGGCGGTGAGAGAAGCCGGTAGGGCTGGGGGGGCCTTGAGCATGGGGACAAAGTCCTCTCCCCATTCAGGCCCGTGGGTTGAGGTCTGCCCACAGCCCTGACCCTTGATCTGTCTGTGCTGCCATTCAGGACATGAGTGTGAATCCTGGAGGGACCTCTCCGGTCCAGGCTCAATGGGGGCCAGACCTGTAGACCTGGTAGGGAAATGGAGAGACGGTCCTGGAGGAAGGCTGGCTGCAATGGAACAGGAAGACATTTCTCTACTTGTTCAGTTTGGGATAATGCATGGGCTATGTGGACATGACAGCTGTCTAGATGGGCCCTGGAGAGGGACGCCAGCTCCCCCTCCCTGCTAAGGTCTTTTGGAGAGCTATCCGGGGCCAGGAGAGGAGGCAAGGCCAGCCAGAGACCTACCGTCATTAGGAGTACGCCAGGCCCTGAAGCCCCCGGGCTGGAGAGTGGAACTTCTCAGAATCCTCAAAAGGCTGGTCTGCAGTAACCAAGGAAGGAGCCATAAGGCATGTGTAGCCTAGGAATCTGATTTGCCTGTCCTCTCTGGGCTGGTCCAGTATATAGGGAATATAACACTTTCTGGTGCAGAGCTATCAAGAGCCTTGAAGGTAGTGAGCCACACCTATCTCTGGCCTGGAACCAGCATTACAGAGTTAAGTAAGGCCTCTAAGGATGTACAGTTGTAAGTGTTTGCTGCCCTGGCTTTCTCAATCAAGAGAAATGACTCTGGGCTCCTCTTCTCAGCCCTGCCTCCTTCACAGGGCTTGTCTCAAGGTGAGGAAGCCGATGGCCAAGTACCAGGACAGAAAAGGAAAGAGGCCAGCCTCCAGCAGCAGTGGCATGTCTTCCTCCCATATCTCCATGAAATTCTTTACTTCCATCACCCCTCGCCCCTGCTAAACCCCTCTCCTGGTTGTCTTTGTTGGCAGGAGAGATTGGTGACACTGTACTCTCCACCCGTCACGTCTTAAGCTCTAGACACGCCTGGGTTAAGAACAACATGGCAGAAAATGACTGTGTGCCCTTTCAGTCATCCTAGAGCACTATTTAACAAGCCCAACCTAAGAATCATCTTCCTCTAGGAGATGTGACTTGTTTTTTTTACTTGCTATATACACTATTGGTTAGGGCCAAGGCTTTGTTAAGTTGGACGCTGACTTGGATGAAATTGATAAATGGCAAATGACAACCATTTCACAGATGGGATATGGAGGGGTGACGTGGTCTCAATTCCCGATCTGTACAATGGGAGCGGGGAAGCTGGTGTAAACTTTGTCCAACTTTGTTTGCGTCCACCCAGAGTGACCAGTCCCTACCCATGGTGTGTGCTACCCTCCAGTGGATGCACAGGTGAAAAGCATGCAGCCTACATGAGATTTCTCTGGCTCTGAGCATTGAGTCTCTGCTCTGGGCTCAAGTGGGTGGGGGTGGGGCCTTGGGGTGCTTTTTGACCTTCTCCAACTGGACCTTCATGGATCCCTGCAGAGCTCCCTGCTCTGCACCTTCCAGGGAGAACTGGTCAACTGGCATCAGGCTCTGGTGAGATGTGGGTGGAGTGGGTCCCTCAAGCCCAGCTGCTCCACCAGGCCACGGTGGGGCAGCATGGACCGCTCACCTGGAAGCCCCTCTCCGTGGGCTCTGGGGCAGGCCTGGGGTGGGGAGCTGGATGGGCGCAGCACAGGGGCGAAGGCGCTCCTCTGTTTGACAGCGGAGATCATGTTGACAGGCGAGAAGGAGAAGACGCTGGTGGTAGGGGCAGCGGCTGAGAGGGACATGGAGGAGGCAGCGGCCAGCGGGGGGCTAGAGGGCATGACTCCGGGGCGGGGCAGGGAGGGGCAGGTGCAGCAGGGAAGGCAGTGGGAGACACAACAGGGAGACAGCACCAGAGTGAGCAGCTTGGTCGGGGCCCTGGCAGGAGCAGTGGGCCCCAATTGGGCTGCTGACCCAGGCACCAAGCTCAGACCTCACTGGGGGCTGTGAGGGTCCTGGGGAGACCAGTACAGGGCAGGGTCTGGAAGCAGGCTGGGAGCCTCTGGGGTCCTGGGCCAACACTCGCCTTTTGGGGGGTTCTGGAGACCCTTTCTCAGGGCTGGAGGTGACAGAGTCAGACTAGGTAAAAACAAAAGCAAAACCAGAACATCCAACAAAATCAAATACTGGGAGGTGACCCCAAAGAAGAGGGATGAGCAAGAGATGGAACAGGTTAAGATTCCTGCTGAAAACCATTGGGAGTCTGCGATGCTGAGAAATGCTTATGGGCTCTAGGGTACCAAGGTTAGCATCAAAGAATGGGGTTCATAGAAGAGCTGGGGTAAGGGGTCAGGGATGAAGTCTGGGGGGGTATATGTAGGCTTCTGTTACAAGGCCTCTCTGTCCAGGATCACAGCTCACACAAGCACTTTAACTTCCTCCACAAATATCCTCCCCTTACTAATCACCCCTCACCCCTCGCACTTGGTTCTCTTCCAGCTTAATGCATGTCCTTGTTATATCCAGCCCAGGTCCTGTATCGCCCTCTTCCAGCTGGTCAATTTTAAAGAAAGACGTAGGGATCTATATGCTCAGATCTTCCTGTTCTCCAACCCCCTAGCTGCTCAGGGCTGTGGCTTGGTTTCCTACACAGAGGCTTTGCCTGCCTCTCCTTCCTGCAGCCTCCTCTCCTAGGGGCTCCTGCCCAGGGCATCTCTGGATCTCTCTTTCTACATCCTCATCAATCAAAATTCCCTGACTCTCCTAAAGACCAATCAGGCTGTTAATTCAGTGTTGTGCAAGCAGCTGGCTATGGGGTGGGGGTGGGGGCTTCCTGGAAGAAACCAATAGCCTAAGAAGGCTGTCTTTGGCATTAAGGAACCCCTCCCCCACTTTGATACTATGCTGTCTCTGTTCCAAATGTCCTCAGCCCCATGGATGGCCATTTCCTTTAAGACAAAGCTCAATGATAGCCAAGGAGGCCGTGAACTCCATGGAGGGCTTAGGACAAATGTACTCTATCTCTCAAGGCCAGGGGCTCTCAGCCACATTTTGTAGCTTGGGTAGGACTGGGAGTTGTGGCTCAGTCCAGGGCTGCTCGTGGCTGAAGTAGAAGACCAAGGGGAGGCCCAAATAGACAGCTCCAGGCCCTCTGGCTGGGATAGTTCTGGATGCCATTCCAGGCATGTCCTGGCACACTCAGTGAAAATGACTGCCCCTGAAGCTGTACCGCAAAGTACTCTGCACATGAGGAGTGGATGGAGACCTGGGTAAGCACTGGTCAAGACAACATTACCAGATGGGGCTGGCCCATGGGCAAGTCCAGGATGTCTTCAGCTGATGCTGGACGGAAGTGGGGCATAAGTAGCTCTAGAATTCTCTGTCCTTTGGCTGAATGGGGAGACCTCAGGTGGCCCGGTTTCTGTCCATTGGGGCAGTGTGTTCCTCCACTGCGGACAGCACCATGTGTGTAGTGGGGAAAGGGGGTGTGTGGTCCAGACTCCACCAACTTCAAATCTGAGGGGCGCCTAGAGAGAGGTTGTAAGAATACTGCCCCGGGAACTGAAGGAAAGTGGGAGCAGTAGAGCCTGGCCTGGAGAGACAGAGGCCTTGGGAGAGACACCAGAAGGTCACGGCCTGTGTGGATGCTGGCATATGAGGTTTCAGGTCCCAGAAGCTAAGCTTGGGCAGAGGGAAGAGCACCAGCCTCAAACCCACAGCCAGAAAGAGCAGTACCCAGGATGTAGGCCACTGGCAAGGAAGGCTAGGCAGGTGGCCAGATAGTTCAGTCCTCAGCAAAAGCAAACACAAGACGGGAAAGGTGAGGAAACCGCAGGAAAAGCCACAAGCAGCTCCAGTCCTCTGGCACAGCAGTCTCTCCCAGGACTTGAGGTACAATCTCTCTTACACTCTATAGAGAGATGCGCTGTACACAGTAGGTGCTTTGTAAATGTCTGCTAAATAGCTAAGCTATAAGGAGCTGAAAACAGGCTGCTCTGGAACTTGGTGTTGGAAAGAGGAACTTGAGGGCAGTGCAAAATAGTAAAAGCATAAATGCCCTGTTGCCCATCCATCCAGTTTTGGGCTGCCTCACCCCCAGGAACCCAGAGGATGGTTGGTGCCCAGTGGCATATTCAAATTTGAGAACAGCCCTAGGCAGGGGGTGATAATGATCCCATTTTAGTGAGGAAACGGACATTCAAAGAAGTAACTTGCTGAATGTCAGACAGCTAATTTGGACACTTAAACTCTGAGTCCAGCTGTCTGACCACACAGAATTCGCTCACTCTGCCCGACTCCATCGCAGGGAGTCATGTCTTCCCTGCTCCGACTGCTGCCTCTCAGACCAAGGCTCTAGGGGAGAATGGAGCCAGGACCAAGGCTCTAGGGGAGAATGGAGCCAGGAGAAAGCCCCTTTTTCTTGAGCCCCGAGTTCCCTCAGGCTTCCGGCAGAGGGCGCCAGCCTCCTCCCAAAGTCCTGGCATTAAGACCGAAAAGCGGCGGTTCGCCAGGTTTCAGAGGGACGTCCCCTAGTTAAAGCCCGTTTCAGGAGGAGGGGAGGGCTAGAAGCGATGTGTACCACTGGAATCAGCAAGAAGAGCTAAAGGTGCAAGAACTGCCCCAGCTCCAGGGCCCGGGATGTGAAGCCGAGGGGTGGGGGGGGTGGGGTGGGTGAAGTACCCAACTTCAAAGAAAGGTCTCACGCACAGGGCTGGCCTGGCTTCCAAAGGCAAGGCCAGGGTAGATCCTCAAGGGACAGGTGCCGGAAACCCCTCCCCCCATGGGCTGGGCGGGGGCAGGGCTGAGCCCCATTCTGCTCCCTAGGGCCCCAGTCCCTCCCTCCGCGGGCATGGGACACTCACTGGCGAAGGGTGAGGTGGCCGTGGAGCCATTGAGGAAGCTAGGGGACCCGGGCACGCCGAGGCCGGCCACGCCTGGCGCCCCGTAGCCGCCGAGGCCTGCTCCGAGGCCGCTGCCGTAGCTGCTCTGCTGCGAGCCGGGGCTGGGAGCGAACCCGCGGGGGGACGCGCTGCTGCAGCTGCGCGCGTAGCCTGCGAGAGAGCGGCGGTCAGAGATGCAGTGCCGCGGGGAAGGGACCGTCTGAGTGCAGGGGACTGCGGGACGCACCCGGCTCCGGGCCTGGCGTGGAGTCCCCGACGGCGATGGCCAGCGGGCTGCTGAAGGCGTTGATGCCCACGACGGCGGGGTGCGGATGGCTGGGAGCCAGGGGTCCGAGCGGGGCGGGTGCTCGCGGGGCGCTGTACAGAGCCTCGGCCACGTCCGCCGCCCGCTTCAGGAGGAGCTCCTGTGTAGACAAGGGCAGGGCATGGCCCAGGGAGCCGCAGGGACAGGGAGGGAGGCAGCCCCCGGCCTGGCGGCGCTAGGAGACGACCGGGGGGCGCATTACCTGGTTACTGCTGGGCACTCCGTACAGGGCCTCCGCCAAGTCGGCCGCCCGCTTCAACAGCACTTCCTGGGGGCAGGGGAGGAGACAGCGGGACCCCTTGGCAGTCCCTGGAGGCAACAGAGGGGCCAGAAGCCCCCTCCTCCCACCTCGGCTGCTGGACACCCTGATTCCCTCCCAGCTGCGCCCCTCTGAGTACCTTGGGCAGCCTCTCGGGATCTCCGGGGTGTCTGGGAATGACTTTCTGTAGCCTCTGGAATCCGTAGTCAATGGTGGGCTCATTCAGGGCTGGGGAGAGGGGTGGCGTTTGGAGGACGCCCACTCCCAGCGCCCTGCGCAGGGCCAAGGCCACAGACAACTAGTCCAGGAGCCTCACTGCAGACCCCTCCACCAAGCTTAGCTCAAACCTCTCGGGAAACTCCGGGCCCACGGGTCAGCGAGCTTCGAAGTTTCCTCAGTTCCTCTCTTATTAGAAAAAAAGGAAACTATATACATATTAGCATCTATATTGCTGGAGGCAGGACTGAAAGAAGAGTTTTCTGTCTGCATTTGGTCTTATTAGGAGTAAATTATTATGTTAAAAAAACCAAAACCCCAACAGTCTCCATTTATCACGGCTCAGGTGGGCTCTCAGCACCTGAACATTAAAACTTTGCCTGTGCTCCAGGGAAGGAACTGGCCCCGACACACAGCTCTCCGGAGGGCCCAGGACGCAGCAGCCTCCCGACCAGGCTTTCGACGCCCTCATCTCTTCCTCCTCACCCCAACCTCACTTCCAGCTCAACCGGCGTCAAAGCCTTACCTACCTTCACCTCCAACTCCAGCTTTAGAGAATTTCCTTTAGTTTTCCCCAAAGGGTAAAGTGCTCACTCCCAGGTCTTTGCACCTGCATCCTTTCTCCTGGGACCCTTTCTTTCCCCATCTCTATCTCCCTATTGCTCCCTCCCGTCCCAGTTTAGCCTACTCTTCCGCCAGGAGGTATCCCCTGGCCGACAACCCCTCCACCCACAGCACACTGTGTTCACAGCTCGGCTGCCCCCAGTTAGACTGGAATTCCGTTAGTAAGTAGGGTCACTACCCAGTGGCCGGAGCCCCCTGAAGGGCTCGGTGAATATCTGTTGGGTGGGATGGGGAAGATGGGAAAAAGTGGGTGGTTTGGGCTGGAGAGGGTAGAAGGGTGGAGATGGAGAGGACCCTGGATCAGCGAGCCTATTTTGGGGCACCTTTGAAATAAACATCCCGGTGGAAATGTTCTAGACTCGGGAGAGGGAGGTTCTAGACACGCTGGCGTGAGGTAGAGTGAAGGTAAAGGGCGGAGACTCAGCGCCAGGCAGGGTACTGAGGAGCCAGGGAGAAAGAGCTAGAAGCACAGGGAAAAAAGATCCGGAGCGAGGAGGGGTCTTAGGGCGTCCCGGGTGGGGCGGGAAGGCCGTCAGCAAGCACTAGGGGGCGTGGCCACGCTGTTGACCTTGGCTAACTCGGGGACCGGGGCTCACACGGGCAGCGTGGGGCTCAGTCCTTCGACCCTAGGCGTCCCCTCTCCCGCCTGACTCCTTACCTGTGTAGACAAAGCGGCCGGGGGCTCCCTTGCAAAATTGCTTGGACTTGTAGGACAGCGTCACCTCCACCACCCCGGGAATGTGCCGCGGGGGCGTCTGCACCCGTATGGCGTGGGGCGTGATGAGCTGCGAGGGGAGAGGGGATGCCTGCGAGTTCCGACCTGGCGAGGGGAGGGCCCAGCCCCGAGGCCCGGAGGGAGACTGGCGGGAGTGGCCCACCTCGCTCCACACGAGCACGTTCCCGAACACGACCTGCAACCCGTCGAAGAAGTTGTCGCCGATGACAATGACGGTGGCGCCTCCCGTGGTCCATCCCTCCCCAGGGCTGATGGCCTTGATGCAGGGGGTGGCAGCTGGGAGGCAGGAGAGGAGCTAGGTCAGGGGCGGGCGCCAAGGTGGGGACTGGGGGCTGGCTGGGCCTGTGGCAGCCGGGGCTGGGCCGGGGGTCCTGACCTTCGGAGGGGTCCAGGCGGCGCGCCCTGCGGCCATGCTTGGAGTTGTTGTGCACAAACATGTTGTCTGACACGGCCAGCACGTGTCCGTCCACGCTCACCGTCGTGGACACCACCACCTGCGGGGAGAGTCGAGGCCAGCCTGGCTGGGGCCCATTGGGGCTCCCGGGAGTGAACTGTTATGGGGCACCAGCAACTTGACGCCATGGCTGGTTGCTGAAATTCAAGGGTCACTGACATGGGGAAGAGCTTTAGTCCCTCAGGGGCTGAGCCGGTGGAAGGGGGCCAGCTGTATCAGGTGACACCCCCAGATGCACAATCTCTGACTGCCTAGGGAAACTGACCCCTCAGGAGCTAGAAAAATCAAGAACCCTGAAAAAAAACCCTGGTTCCTTGGTCGCATTGGCTACTGCTTTTGCACACATGTACCCCAGGTTGTATCCCCAGGGCTCCAAGGCAGAAATGGGTCTTAGGCAAGTGGGAGTGAGAGTTTTGATTGAGGGAGCAGCCTCAGCCTGAGAATCCATCAGCAAGAGCCCCCACCTATGGGAGGAAATTGGGGCTGCCTCCTTCTCCACCCCCCTTCACTGGGAGGAGTGTGCAGGTAGGGGATGTGCTAAGGGCAGCTGCACTCCCGCTTCATGCTATGCAAATTAGCTGGGTCGTTAATCATGTAAAAATGTCACAATTAGCATCTCCTTAAGTGGGACTCTAATGAAGCCTCCCTTGGCAGCCAGCATAAGTTGAGATGGAGCTGCCCCACCCCCAGCAGGCACCCGGCCTGAAGCACTGGGCTGGTCAGGGATCTGCCCTGGGGGCCTTTCCCAGAGTGGGAGGGCCACAGCCTCCCCACAACTCCTACTATCAGAAAAGGGCAGGTTTGTAGAGGGGAACCCCCTCCCCAGACCCACCTGGAAGCGGCGCATGTCTCTGGGATTCCCTGCGTTCTTTAGGCAGTTCTGGTTGCATTTGAGGAAGAACTTGAGGAAGAACCTGAAACAGTGTGGTTGGTGGGTTCAACGGTCTGGGGGTTCTGGAAACAGATGAAAGTCCAACTGCTCCCTGCCATGCCACCTCCCAGCAGGGTGACTCCCCTCTGCCTGCTCACACGCAGATACAAACTACATATTCTCAACACAGAGTGCCTGATACCCATGGAGTAGACTCGTCCCAACGACTACAGCACTACACAGAATATCCCCCACAGTGTAGGATTACAGAGTGCTTATTTGTCTCACAAAGTGTATACTCATCACACCCACACAAAGTATATTCATAAAGAATATGTCCATTATATATACTGTGTATACTTATTACTCATGAATATTACCCACGACACAATGTATACTCCACATGCAGCAGGTGCTCACACTTACTCCATTTATATTTGTCATAGTATATGCCCATCACACATATAGTGCATCCATACCACATAGCATATTCCTCCTCCAGAGTGTATCCATCACTCACACAGTGTATACTCGTCATAAACAGTGTATACATTCTATACACTGTATATGCCTTACATACCGTTACTCACAAAACACAGCCATCATACACAGTGTATACCCACCACACTCAGGATATACCCTTCAAAGCAGCATATGCTATCTGTAATCCACATACAGCCTATACTCATCACACCCATATGGTCTATTAGTCACACACATAGTCCATACCCATCATGCACAGTGTATGCCCATCCTACATAGTATATGCACAGAAAGAATATGAGAATATATGCATTGATGCAACATTTTCTGTTGTGTATGATTACCTAAAATATAGTTATTGCAAATACTGTACAGTCATCACATATAGCAAGTATATCCCCCCAACAAATCCCTCTCACCCACAGCAGATCTCACACAGAGCAGACCCCTACCCCAACACCCCCCCCCACCAAACAGATCTCCCTCACACATATTCTATATCCATTATATACACAGCAAAAACCTATCATACACACAAGATGTGCCTGTCAGACATGCCGTACAGATACACAGTGAATACCTTCTTTTTCACATACAGTAATTGGGGAAAAAAGGTATAGGATATGCAGTGATGAGCATGTTTTTTAGACAAACACTTTGGTATTTGGACCTTCAGTCCTTCCAGGCAGTTGGCTGTGATTGGGGGGGCCTTGGCCCTGACACTCTCCAGTGAGGTAACCACAGATAACACTGATTTTGTACTCTTAGTAAACTCAGAATATTATTAATATCTGCCTTAGCCTGTACAGGACTCTGTGAGCATCCGGGGAGATGCCCTTTACAAACTATAGTGGGCGGGGCTAAAGTGTGAGGGTCCTGCCATGTAGCTCAGCCTCCTAAGCCACTCTATGAGCTCCTCTGGCCAGCTTCCTCATTTTACCACCACCTTGTGGTTTTGAACCCCAAATTTGAACATACATTGAACTCATCAGAGTTGCCTCCAAAGTCTATGAACATGAAATTCACATTCAGAGGAAGATATGTTACAGGCTCTGAAAGGTAGTCCCCAAAGACCAGGTCCCGAAGTGTTGGGAGGGGTGGGTACCACCTCTGGAACAGAGGTGTTCCGGGGGTGGCCCCTCATTGGGTGATAGTGCCAGTCAATTTCCTGGAGATGCACTTCCCCGCAAGCCCTGCCTCTGTCCCACTCCTGACCACTTAATACCTGTCATATTCTCCCACACAATGGGTGTCCCTCTGGGAACCCCAAAGTTTTCCTTTCCATAGGGGCAGTACATCAGCATGCATTTCCACCCACAGTGGACACGCCCCCACTTTCACGTGGTGTAAACTTTCTTTACATCCTTCTAGAGCACTCTGAGGTACAGACGTGTCATATGACCCCAGGTGGTACACACCCACCATGTACACACCCCATCCACCCCTACAGGATACCCTGCAGTGCAGACAGTTTATATGTCCCCAAGTGGTAGTCACCACAGGATAGATGCCCTATATACCCCAATAGGTCACCCCAAGGTGCAGGCACCTCAAATGCTCCCAAGTAGTATACCTGCACAGTGTGGATACTCCGTTATCTCACATTATATGCCACAGCAATGATTTCCTACCCCTATAAGACACCCCATGGTGTAGACACCTCTATGCTTATAGTAGTCACCTCTAGCATGTCCCACATTCATATGACATAGCATGCAGACACCCTAATCACACATGGTTTATTTAAATTCCACATTCACGTGTTCAGTCCTTTACAAGGTGACAGACAGGAGGGCAAAACAGCAGGACAGGACACAGTCTCTGTCCTGAAAGGGATTCATGCTCGCCCTTTGGATGTCACTGATGATGCAACAAGCACGGGAGTACCTCATTGCTGAAACACACTTCCCTTATATCTACACACACGCCTGCTGCACCCAACCCCTCTCCCAAACCTACAGAATCCAGAGGAAGGTGCCGTGAGATGGAGCTGGAGATGTAGGCTGTGGCCCAGGCACTGACTCACTGTGTGGCCTGGGGTAAATCCTGCATCTTTGGCATCCATCTTCATCCATGACCCAGGAAAGCAGAAATTGATGGTTGCTGAGGCGTCTTCCGGTCCTGCTTCTGGGACATCCTTTATTTCTGACCTTCCAACGCCTCAGGCTGCTATTTCTTGCAGGGTCCTGGCTCCCCCTAGGGGAGCCACCTCTTGCTCTGTAGGTCTTCCCACCCTTTCCGTTGTATTACAGATTGCATTTGTCCTTTGGGTCCACGCCAATTCCCACTTCTTGTCTACCAGCTTTTTCTGGCCACTCTAGGCTTCAGGGACCACCCCACCCTGAGAACCCCAGGACCTTGCCAGCACCGCCATCTATGTGGACCTGCCCCAAGACGTCGCAGTTTTTGAGCCTGGTTGTCATTACCTGCGGAGTAGTGTTGAGTAAGCAGCAGCCACACAAGGCCTGGGCCCTCCATGGGGGTAATAAGAGTCTCCTTGTCCTTTCCCTCTGAGCCTCTAGCTCAGAGCTGCACACAGTTGATGTCATCAGTGGCAGAGCTGCTGAGATCTCACCCAGTACCAGCTAGTAGTCCATGAGGCTGCTCCCACCCAGTCAGAGGCCCAGCCAAAGCACACATTTTCCAGAGAGCCTGCAGATGCTGCAGTGCATCCCCTGCCCCCTGCCAGCCTCAGGGCTGTTGAGAAAAATTATCCACAACTTGAAAATAAGGCAAAAAAAAAATAAAATTACCATGAGTCCTTTCAAAGTCATTCTGGAACAGTGGTTTCCAAAGTGTGGTAACCAGACCAGCAGCAGCACCATCACCTGGAAACCTGCTAAAAACGCAGAATCGCAGGCCCCACCTCAGACCCGTTGAATCAGAAACTCTTGGGGTGGAGGTGCCTAGCCACTTGAGTTTTCATAAGCCCTCCAGGTGATTCTGATGCTCCCTAAAGTTGAAGAAGCACTGCTTTAGAGCTTCACTATCCCATTCGACAGCCACTAGTCCTGTGTGGCACTGAGCACTTCGAATGTGGTTAGTTTGAATAGAGATGTGCTGTAAGTGTAAAATGCACATCAGATTTCAATTGTTTAATTAGAAAAAAAAGAATGTAAAATATCTCAGTAAATTTTTTGGAATTGATTACATGTTGAAATGATATTTTGGACATATTGGGTTAAATAAAATATATTGTCACAATTAATGTTACCAGTTACTTTTTTAAAAAATGTGGCTACTAAAAAATTTTAAATTACATATGTGGCTTGCGTTATATTGACACTGCTGCTCTAGAGTATTATGTTAACAAAGCCATCTTGAGGTTTGGCTGGTTCTCCAAGGGAAAGTAACTTTTAACTCATATTTGCTATTGATTGGGGTCCAGAAGCTGCAAAGTAAGGTGCTCATCTACAGAAAACTGATAAGATGCAAATGATTTTTGTTGGGAGAAATAAGTAATTTTTGTTCAGTAGAGAAATTAGTCCTAAAGATTACAATTTTTATTGACCTATGGACATTGAATAGCTTTGTATTTAACTTGGCAATCTTATTCCGGTATTTTTCACCTATTCCATTTCTTCTCCCTTCCTCCTTTCCTGCCTCCACCCCTTTCCAAGCTCCCCTGGAAAGAAGAGAGCTTGGCGGGGTCTGGGTAAGTGAGGACTGTGCCATCCTGCTCTGGGGCCTCCCATCCTAGGCAGGAAGGGACGTGCACTTTGTTGAAGCCCTGCTTGCCATCAGGGAAGCACCTCTTCCTCCTCCTCCCAAGCCTGGATGATACCAGGGGTGGGAAGGATTAGGGAATGGGAGAAGGGGGGTGTTTCTGAGCAGCCCGGTCATGGAGCTAGAAGGGAGCCCCTTTTCCCAAGCTGGGCAGGACCAAGCCCACAGTACTGGCTGACCTGAAGTATCCCCATCGAGGGTGAGCATTTTAGATGTCCCCTGGGTCAGGCAGGACCTGTGCCCAGTGACACCCTTATTGTGGCCATGAGGCTCTTTGGGGGCATGGTCCCACAGAAAAGGTAGTAAGAGAAAGGTAAAGTCCCAGGAGCTGCCATTAGAACTACTAGAAGAAAACATCATAAATACAAGTATGAATTACAAATATAATACAAAGCTGTGCAAAAAAATTTAAAAAGTCATCCGGGTCTAATTTATCAAGCACTGGGCCAGAGCCTGGAACCTGTCACTTGCATTACCTTGTTTGATCCTCTCATAGTCCTGAGGTTATGTAGGTCTACAATCATCCCTACTTTGTAGATGAGAAAACCAAGGACAAGCAAGGATAAATTACAAAGTCACAGTAAATGTCAACATCAGGATACAAATTTGGGACTTTAGGCACCACTGACATTGACAAGAATCATAGAAAAGTCCCTTAAGTGGGGTTCTTACAGTCCATCTGAGCCCCAGCCACAGGGCTTCTGCTGCAGGACCGTGCAGTAAGCTGTCTTTCAAAAGAGGCGGGCCGAACACGGACCAGGTTAGCTACGGAATGTGCATTTCCTCAAGGTTACACGTTCATCGGGGTTGCAAAGGAAACCCAGTTCCCCTTAC